CAGCTGTGGGCGCCTTTCTTTTTCTTTTTCAAAGATGTGTTTATGCAGACAAGAGCTGGGGTGCGGGGCTGAGAGGCCTCCCCAGAGACAGCGGGGAGCAGAGCAGGCAGATCTGCTGAGACCCAGGGGTCAGATCCTGCAGGGCTGGCAGCGGACCCAGAGTGCGGAGACTTGACCCCTGCGCCACCGCGGAGGCCTCAAGGCGGCTTTTCTTTCTTTCTCTCAAGATTTATTTTATTTATGCGTGCAGAACCGGGGTGCCGGCCGGAGGTGCGGGGGGTGAGGGGCTAAGCCAGAGACAGTGGGCGCAGTACAGGCGGACTGAGGCACACCGCTGAGGGTCCGCGGGGGCTGGGGTCGCTCCCTGGAGCTTGTGCCCGGAGGCCGGGACAGCCTCGCAGTGCCCCCGGGAGGCCACGGCCCGCGCCACGCCCTGTGCGCGGCAGGCGCGCAGTTCTGCTCCGCGGGGTTTAGCTGTGGTAAGGCAGCGGCCGAGTGGCCGAGGGCGGGAGTTGGGGTTCTGCTCCGAGGCGCTGCCCCCCCTTGGCGGGCGTGCACCGAAGTCGCAGTCCCAAGAGGTCACTGGGGGAGCCCCAGATGGGCCCCGAGCGGCCGCGCAACGCCCCCCTCTGTCCCGACGGCCCTAGATGCGCTTCCTGAACTGCCGGAGTGGGCGGAAGGACCCGTCCAGGTCCATCCTGGACGTGGGCGTAGAAGAAGCCATAAAATTCAGCGGATTCGATGAGAAGATGTTTCTGCAGCGCGGCGGGAAGTATGTCTGGAGCAAGGCGGACCTGCAGCTGGACTGGTAGGCTGAGCGCAGCCCAGCGCGGGGGCCGGCCGCCGTGGGCTTTGCCGGCGCCCACCGGTCTCCCAGACTCCGCCCGGGTCAGACGCCGCCTGGCACCGGCTTTCTCGGGGCCGCGCCTGACGCCTTCCCACGCTGCCCTTCCGGGATCGGTTCTCTCGGCCGACTGCGGTGCCGCTGCCGCCTCTGGGAAATCGCCAAGTGGCTTCCAGGTCATCTCTGCCGCCTGCAGGCTCGTCCCTCCCCCCGGCCGTGCAGCCTCGGGCTCTGACCGAGCTTCGGGCCTAGCCG